CCTTGCACGAAGGATCTTGATTGGTAGTTCCTTGATTGGCAAAGAGACATTCTTGGAAATGATAATCCGCCGGAATGCAAGAGGGGATCACAATCCACGTTGTCCACTCTAGTCGCATAGGTCAATGGCGAAACCAGGCTCCAGGTGAAGAAGAAATATTCTGAAGGTATTTTGGCGCCCGATGTCGCCTATATAGTGGCTGTCACAGCCAATCAGGAGAATACTTGGACACCATTGGCTATTTGGAAGCAAAAGAGTGATTCAATCAGGCTTCAGCATTTCGAGGAAAATGGTTTTCCCAATTCGTAATGTCGAGGAACCGACTCGATAAGGAAACTATATTCATATGCCCTTCTCATGTGTGGAGGATGATGGGCTATGTCACGATGGAATTACAGCATTGGTTGAACACCATGAGCCCCTCCACCATATCAACAATTCACCATTTTCACTTCATTTCATATGTAAACACATAACTACTCTCTTCTTCTGAATTCTGTACAAGTGATATTTACAATACACAACACAGAGGAATTCATTTTGCTTACTATTTTTTCATTGACGAAGCCAAGAGATTCCTTAACTGCTGGCTTTTAAAACAAAATCAGTATGAATATGTATAATGCTTCAAGATGTTCAAAGCGCATATATTGTCTGTAAACATACATCCAATCAGAAAGAAATAAGTTGAATAATACTCTCGACATGGCATGCCCACATAGAGGTGCAAGTAGTGTTTATAAGATAGACAATTGAAGCAAGATAAGGAGAAAGAAAAAACTCCCGCTGGATTTGCCAAAGATTGTGAGGTTCACAGCCTTGAATCTTTGGAAGATAATTCAATGTTTTGTTTGAGGCAGTTCGCAGCTGGTAAACGAGATCTTCCAGTGCGACTGTAGGTACAACTTTATTTTGATAGTCCACTTTAGACATTCTACTAACTACAAGCAACATGTCAACTAGCAAGTCATTAGAATATTAGTAGACTGCCTGCTTAATATCTACTAAACAGTCTACTAACAGTCTACTAATAGTCCAATGAGAGTTGGTTGACATGTGCTTGACTGGTTACTAATAGTAGAATGTCTAAAGTGGACCATCAAAATAAAGTGTTACCCAAATGTATAGCCTACTTTCATTTTGTGTCAAACAATGACCCGGTTTTACAGATAGGGCTTAGATTAAGCCAGGAATAGGCCTTAGTTCAATTAGGGCATGTAAGTAGCTTTTATAAACGTGACTAAGAAAAATAAAAACAATACTGGTGTGAATCTTGAGCCAAAGCAATGGCACTTACATATTTTAAATTTAAGAGATATGTCAGTGCAAGTTACTTTGAGTTAAAACAGCTCAAACATGCCAACATTTTAGTCTGGGACTAGTCTTAAGCCTTGTCTGTCTCAATTTCCATTAATTTCACTAGTGTTTCTGTACAACTATTCACAGAGACATCTGTGCCATCGATTAACCTTGTGGACAAGATTTTTGTCAAAAGTTAGTACCAATCTATTCTCACTCAAAATAAGACAAAAACCGAAGCATGATCAATCGCTTTGCGTGCAACTACTAAGACAATGAGAATTTGCATGCTTGCTTTATGTGTCTCTTATCATTATAATTTTAGGTAAAATGTCTCCACATTACTGTTTTTTTTGTAAAATAAAATTGATTATGCTTTTAATTCTTTGTATGCATCTGTAAAATTAGAAATTATTTGTATCCTTTTATACATATTTTGAGCACCTAATCCCACTCATTCCCTAAACCTAACCACTTTTCAACAAGATAAAACACATAACAGGCAGATGAAAGAACAGTCACAGTAATGTATTGCATACAAGTATGAAAAATGACGTGTGGTGCATTCCAAGTCCTCTGAAGCCATATGTTATTTTTATGTGAGGAACAGAGTGAAATTTAAGGTTTTAATCACTGAAAATCTTAATGCTCTGTGAAGACAGTCACACACCTCATTCAATAGATGACGCTTCTTCAGCAAGACTTGGAATATTTGCCAGTTTTGAATAAATAATTGCGACAGTACTTGTATACTGTTATATCCTCCTTTATGTTGTTTTATATTGAGAAATGGTTCGAGTAGGTTTAGGGGTAGGGGTCGGGTTAGGTGCTCAAACTGTCTAAATTGTAAAATTAGGGATTGGCATTCACTTTTTTTGCTCAGTGGTTTTCCAAAGTTACAAGCCACTCAGCATTTTCACTGGCCACAATTTTGACATCGATACCATGGGGGAAAACTACCATATAGATATTTTTATTATTATCTCATAATTTGGCAGCAGGTATATTAGGCTGCTGTCACTTTAAGACCTGACATACGTATCCATTATACTGTTACACATGCGTTTCTCAACTGTTTACGTTCAATTCAAACATAACTGACTGTGTTTACGTGAATAGTCGCCAGGACCAGCACTTTGACATTATTTTGTGTGTATTTGATTTTTTATTCTAAACTGTTTTAATTATTCTTATTTGTTTTGATTACTTTTACTTTCTTCTATGTATAGCAATTTGAATTGCCATTGTGTATGAAATGTGCTATATAAATAAACTTGCCTTGCCTGCCTTGCCTATTTGACCGTTGAAGTGCAATACGCAGTGAAAAATAACTCAATTGAGTACTGAGAGGTGGCACAAAATTTGCGGGAATGAGTCAAATTATGCACAATACGAGCAATTCCACGCCGAAATTCAAGCCCTGTAACAGCAAAAATATTCATCCGGAGCAAATGAAACGAATGAGTGAGGAGAGGCCGGTTTCTGTGTAACTCACTGTCAGAGAGATGAGACCGCGAGAAAGTGCAGCTGGTTTCGTGTATCTATTCTGCGGAAAATGAGTATTGGATATTTCAATATCGATGTGTATCAAAAAATCTATAATCTATAACACTACATTGCACTTAGGTTTTTTTCAGATGCCTTTTTGAAAAACTACTACTGTAAAATTGATATATATAAAATTCGACCTGCCAAAATGGCTAGTAGGAGTGCCATTGCTGAAATACACCCGCATTTGGCGGGAGTTAATGTCAAGCCCTAAGTGTAGTGTAAATAAAATTATTGTGGCTTAAACTAAAAATCAAAACTTAACACTTGAGTCATAATGACAAAATTATACCCCAATATATAATTTCCTGGCAATAAAAACCCAATGTCCTTTGTGTCCATGAATTGACAGGAATGGTTTCTCATTAAAAGCAATGGTAATCCTAGTCTGTAGATAGTGGAGCAATTGCCAAAGGTGTGCCTTTAGCGACGGCATCTGTCAATGCTGCAGTTTTTGATGCCTTCAGAGTGAGAACGGTTTGAGACTACACACAAGGTGTCAAGGTTTGGCCAGTCACTAGATGTTGTAACTACACCATTTTGCTATTTAAAAGCATCTATATATATATGAAATATTTATCATTTTTTTCCAGTGGCATGGTTTTTTGGAGTTCTCTTACAAACGGGAAAAAGGGTTCTATTTTTCCCTGTCTGTTGCCATTCACATCAGAGTAATCGCCGCTGAAGGGTTTGGGTTTAGGTTTGTTCCTCTGATGCTATCAGCTAATAAGCATTGGCATTTCCTGCTGAATAACAATCAGTCATGTGGCATTTTCACCATCATGAACAATGATGGCAGAATTCAGGTCACATACTTTCAAGCATCAGTAGAACAACTGCAATTGAGATGAATGGGAATGCTAATGGTTAGACTAGCATTACACAAGATTTATGGGAGCTATAAAAATGATTCGAGTTAGCAGCTGAATCGAGTTGTTTGGGGTAGTTAGAAGTAATACCTTCAACTTCCATAGCATGCTGAACATCAAAATTAAACATAATATAAGCATATTGGAAAAGTAAAGCTTACCAAAGTGTCAATGGTAACACTTTACTTGAAGGGGTGTGCATAAGACTAACATGACACCTTCATAATCATGACATGACACATGTTATGAATATGAAGGAAGTTTTATGCATGTTTGTGACAACTGTCATTAAGAGTCATTCGCTAAATTATGACATTTTTAATGCAAATCATAACCTGTCAGTGTCTTTGTCATGAGAACTTGACATTACTAAGACAACACAACCTGTCATAAACATGACATAGCAGATTAATTATCAAACTTAAGAAACCCCTTAGCTTTATTGGTTAACATTACATTAAACTGTCAGGTGGTTGGTTTTGACATTGGCTGTCATGAAGCCATTGTAACTGTTTAATGACAAATTCAATTTGTACCACTGTAGTTGAGGTCACGAAAAATATTCATGACAGTTATAATGGCCTCATGACAGCCAATGTCAAAACCAACCACATGACAGTTTAACTTAATTTAATGTCAAGTTGTCATGACAAAGACACTGACAGGTTATGATGTTATGGTTTATGTCAAGGTGTCATAACAAAGACATCTTAAACAATGTCATATTTGCATTCAAAATGTCATTATTGAGCAAAAGACACTTAATGACAGTTGTCATAAACATGCATAAACCCTACTTCATATTCATGACATATGTCATGTCATGGTTATGAAGGTGTCATGTCAGTCTTATGTACACCCCTTCAAGTAAAGTTTTACCGTGTCGATAAACTTTAGGGTAAAGGATTTGAGTGACACGTTTTACCAAAATAAATGACGTTAAGGAAAAGTGTATAATAAATTCTCTTGAATAAATAAACTATCATCTGTGTGTAAAGTAGAAAATACAACCATATGATAAAACTATTCCTATAGTCCCCTTACTCAATAAACCATAAGAAAAGAAAACTACAAATAAAGGAATAGATATATTCAATTATTGAGTGCTGCTTTCTTATCAATTGCTAAAGGAGGAAAGAACTGACAGTGAAGTGCTGTTGATGTCTAATCTTTAAGTCTAGGATTTTTCTGTTGCTAAAAAGAGAACCAATTTGCAGCAATAACTGATTTGATAATTTTGCAACAAAACAGATATACCTAATATTGAACAAAACTCTCAAACGCACTAAAGACTACTGGATTTTGGAATAGGCACCATTTGTTCTTAACCTCTTTAGAGTTTCGGTGTCAGCCAGCAATTAAGGTGAACCCAAGGTTAAAGAGAGTTAGTCCTGATTTTAATCTGTCAACATAAGTCCTGCTTGTATTGCAAAATCAGACGCAGGATAACAGAAGAATATACTGACATAAAAATAAGTGGTGCTTCTTGGACGGCCCCGCAATCCAGTTAGTTGACATAATAAAGCCAATAGATGACATTGAAGAAAGAAAATACGGTGGGGAAGATCATTCTCGACCATTTGTCGATTGAATTTACATCAGTTAAGTCAGGGATGTTGATTTTAAGCTGTGAAGTGCGCCGCCGTAGTCGGCTCTTCTTCTGAGCAACGTGGCGTTCCAGCGCATTGTGCCCAAAGTTGTGCCTGGCCAGGCCGGCTTTCCGATACTGCAGCGTGGTGCTGTCAAAGGCCAGCATGGTGGAGCGGGGGTCGCCCAAACCCAGGCTTAACTCGGATGTGCCCATTTCATTCTTGATCTCCAGAGGACTGAGAAGGATGTTTTCATGGGGGTCCATCTAAGACATAAATACAGATGGACAGGTTAGTAATGGTCACAGTATTATTTCCATACATTTGTTACGCATTATAAACAATATCAATTGGACAAAAAAAAATACAGATTGATTTCTGATGGTTTTCTTAATTATCTTTTTTTGTATTTAAAAAACAATATGTATTTCCAATAAAATTAATCACATTTACATAAACAAATATTTAGAGAAAAAAAATGCTTACTTACCTACTGCTTTTCATGAATTATTCTTTATACTTTTTGCCATTTTAACACAGTATTTAACATAGACTGAGACAAACCAACAAAGTGCCAGTAACACAGTATAATGGAAATGGGTTTGGTGCACATAGAGATGTAAAGCAAAGTAAGGTAAGGCATGGTGGTACACATGATAGTAGTTATGCCATATATTTCTACAAAATTATGACCTTTTCATGACAAATAATAGGGACCGATATGTAGAAATATCTAATTGATTCAAAATGTTCAATTGTTCTCTCTTGTTTTCAAAACAGATTACCTTTTCCCTTTCTGAATTGTACTTTCAATGGTATTTTATTAAATAGTATCTAAAATAGTAAACATCTGTTTTGGTGAGTGGTTTGGAGGGAAAAGATAGGTGATGATGGTAATGAAAAAAAAAATTAAATTCTGTTATGATTTACTCACCCACATGTCATTCAAAACCTGACTTTCTTTCTTCATCCAAACACAAGAAGAGATTTTGAAAAATATTCTGCCCACTCTTTTTCTATATATTGATTGAAAGAGAACTGGACAAGTTCCAATATGACAAAAAATGTACCAAAAAAAAAAGCACGACTTGTGTACTTTATTAGCCTGGTTGACACAAGACCCTACTCAGTTGTGACGGAGAGTGGGTCTGGGGAAGGTTCATTCACAGCCCATTTCCAAAGGGGCGTCACCAACGGACGTCGCTCAAATGGGCGCAATTGGATAGACCAAAAATCAATCAGAGCTATCGTCATCGTGTAAAGCCCGCCTCAACGTTTGTGATTGGTGCCTCGATTTGGAAAAATTGGAAATGGGCTTGAATGGGCTCTTGGCCAGACTGACTTGCAGAGCAAATCTCAAATTTAGGTTCTTTATGTGACTTTTTGCAAAATCATCTGAAGTTGCACAGTAAGACCACGGAAAATCTTCCCTTCTGAAGAAAGTCATATCAGAGTTTGGACAACATAAGAGTGTTTAAATGATGACAGAATTTTCAATTTGGGTCAGCAATTTTTTTTAAGAGGAAACAAGAAATCGTAAAAAGCAACAACAACACCACATTCTTAATCCCAACTCGTCACATTGACATACAGGCTACCCCTTTAGCACAATTTTTCGACATGCAAGGAACTCCATTGCTTTCAATGAGAAACATTAGGTATTAATACACAAACGCAATGGTCATGGGAATTTTGTCATCATGATAAAAAAATATAGAATGAGTATAATTTTGCCATTATGACATACACTGCCCGGCCCTCCCAGAAAAGTGGGTGTTTGGATTCAAATGCTTAAGAGTCTATGATTGGATCATTATTGTAGTGATTATTATGTTTCTAGAATGTTAAATGTTTGGCAACAGTTCTTCTAACCCTAGTTGATGGGAGTATGTAACTTTTAATTTCTTAAACAACCATGAAGCCATATTCCAGGATGACAATGTCAACATTAATCAGGCTCAAATTGTGAAAACTTTACAAAGTGCTTGACTCTTGTGTTGACAATACAATATCTTGAACAAAAATCGATGCCCCTCTTGATATAAATATATGTTGTGATGTTTTTTTCCATCAAGAGGAGCATACATTGTTGGTCAAGATCTTGTATTGTCAATGCAAGAGTCCAGCACTCTCCCTCCCAACCATTCTTTCACCATTTGATCCCGATGAATCTTGATATGTCATCCTGGAATATGGCCATGATGTGTCTCCCTACATGGTTGCTTAAGAAATTAAAAGCTCCATCAATCAGGGTTAAAAGAACTGTTGCCAAACATATAATGCGCTAGAAACATAATAATCACTGCAATAATGATCCAATCATAGACTATTTTGCCTATTTAAACCCAAACAGCGACTTTTTTTTCTTCTTTTGGGCCGGGCATATAGTGTATATTGTGGTTTGATTTTCAGTTTAAACAGCCAGCATAATTTTATTTACATTACACTATTTAAAAATTTTTGTACACATAACCCAACCCATACCCCTAAACCAACCCATTTGTATATTATATCATATAAAACACAGGATATAACAGGCAGATACAACTACAGTCACAATTTATTCAAGATGTACATATATTGGAGGGTTCTGAGGCCAAACGATTGATTTGCATGAGGAGCAGACCCAAAAAGTGATCACAATTTTCATCCGCCGTAAAGCTCATTTCCTAGTGATGGGGAGTCGACTCCAAAAGAGTCGATTCCTCGACTCGTAATAACCCTCATGTCGGAGTTGACTCCAGCACAGGAATCGACTCTCGTTGTCGACTCCGTTGCTGTGTCTGAAACCGCTCAATCGTGCATCAGAGAGCTGGAGCTGTCGCAGAAACAACATCACAGTCACATACTTTGATCCTACATGTAGCTTGCTTTACAAAAGATAACAGCCAATTACATTGCAATTATACATACCTCAATGCCAGCTTTGTGGTTTCACCAAAGTTTTTTTTTAATACAGTCGATACTAATTTGGTTTGCCATGGTTATTCTAATTTGTGTTCATAATCAGTAAACGTTTACACTTTTTTTTTTATGTGTCCCTGTTAGAGTGTAATTATACATTTAAATACTCAGTAATATTAATTAACTACATGCACTTACTATAGGGTTACGGTAGGATTATGGTTTGGTTTAGGGCTAGATGCATGTAATTATGCCTAATTTAAAGTTATTACTATAGTAAATACATGTAACGTGTTACAAGGACACATTAAAATAAAGTGTTACCCAGTAAACTAATCAATAAAAAAAAACCTGTTAAAAAATAAACACATTAATATGTGTATTATATGTATTCAAGCAAGACATTGTTTTCAGTATCTTGAACTTTCCTGTCCAAGCTAGCCTGGTTAAAACCAGACCATTCTCAGTTGTAACTGAGTTATGGTCTGGCAAAGCGTCATAGACAAATCATTTCCAGAGGGGCGTCACCAACGGACGTCGCGGACAGACCTAAACCCAATCAGAGCGATGAAGGAGATGACGTATGCAGAGCGAGTGTTGTTCTTTGCTCGGTTTTTAACAAAAAGGAAACGTTCAAATCGCTTAAAACAGACGCGATAGCTGATTGGAACGAGTGATGTTCGACGGCGGCATCCATCTTTGTAATGTAGGCTACAAAATCTGCTTCAAAATCCCAGCGCTGTCGTCATCGTGTAAAGCCCGCCCCAACGTTTCTGATTGGTGCCTCGATTTCGGCGGATTGGAAATGGGCTTGAATGAGCTCTTTGCCAGACTAACTTTCAGAGCAAATCTAAATTTGCCGGAAGTTGTCTGGGTTTTCCCAGGCTTTGTCCAAGCAGCTTTTTGGACTAAACTGGACGAATTTGGCCAATCAAGCTTAACAGTGTGTGGCTTAATAAAATGAGTTTTAGGCTTCATGTCAGAAAAAAAAAAAAAAGATTAGCCAACATTTAGTGTGTAATAATACGCCCATAAAGTGATGGTGGAAAAAAAAATATGAGATGGGAGAAAAAATAATAAGTCAATGATTTTGTGTTCTCCCCCAAGAAACTTTGCGTTTTCTTGCCTAAATGTTTTGTGTTCCCCTGAGAAAGTTAGCATTCGATCGCAAAACGGTTTGCGTACCACCGAGAAACGTTGCGGACAAAAAGTTTCTAAGTGGAACGCAAAACATTTTGGCAAAAAAAACGCAAAGTTTCTCGGGAGAATGCAAAACATTTGCGAAAGAACGCAAAAGCTTTGACAAATATTTTTTCCTTCATCTCATATTTTTTTCCCTTCACCATGTCCCTTTAGGTGCTCCGTATAATAATGACGGCAATCTGGTATTCTCATTGCTGAAAGTAAATGGAGAAAATGGAGTCGGTTCCGGGAGTCTATTCCATTGACTCCTACGGTGGGAGTCGGAAAGCGGTGTCAACTGCCAGAAGAAGCATTACATTAGCTTTGACTGAGAAATGCCATTGGCTTTTTTGTGCCTTGCGACTGATTGCGACATGCTAATGTTCGGGTGTATCATTTGAATTAGATATGACTGCATGCGTTCAAGGAGCAGGATTATTTTCAGCAATTAATTTAAAGCCTTAAGTTCCACTCTGTTCTCAGCATAAAGATACTTTATGGCTTCAGGAGACTTGGAATTCAACACGGCTTGTTTTAAATACTTTTAAACTGTATTTTTGGTCAGTTTTTGCAATGAAAACCTCCTGTGACTACTTTTATTTGCCTGTTACGTGTTTTATATTGTTGAGAAGTGGGTAGGGGTGGGGCTAGGTGCTCCATAATATCTAGGAAAGTTGAAATATTTATAAAATCATCTCTACTTTTACAGACGCATTCAAATATTTAAATGTGGCTTGATCTGATGCATAAGGCAAAAAAACAGAAAGCAATGGAGTGCCCTGCACATTGAAACATTATGATAAAGAGGTACCCTTGCACATTAGAGAGTGACGCCAAGGGTTCCTGACCAAGCGTCCATATGTGACAAGTTGAAAGTGAGAACATGTTGTAAAAAAAAGACTGGGTCTCAAATAAATTTGCCGCGCTATACGCCATAACTCTCTTGATGAACGTTTTCAGTACCTTATTTTTTGAATCGCCTAGTCCTAATGCTGCATCATCCACAAAGATTGGTTCCCACATGGAGTCATGTGCGTCAATATCCCTCTGTTTCATTCTGGCATACAGAGCATCGTCTCTCTGAACTACATTTCCCATCAACCACTGAAAGCATACAAAATCATCACCATCAAAGCAGTCACTTTTCAAAAAATGTTTAGAAGTGTGAGGCAATGCTGGCATTTTGTGGATTATGCTTCAAAGAAAACCACAGCTCTAAATCCAAGGCCATCCTTCAATAACTTCAACTATATCTGAGCACCAGCGAAACATCTTCAAATTTGAACAAACAAGAGTCTTGACCAGTTCCCTGAGTGCTGTTATTGCTCAGTAGTTTTCAAATATTAAAAATAGGTCACAGATTTGTAGCTACTAATAGGGTCTCAGAGAGCATGGGGAAAACAATACTAAATGCCAATAAAAATGCGTCTCTTATAACACGCGAGTGCTGTTTTCTGCGTCTTCTTATCCGTCTTTTTTTTTGCATTTATCTTATAGATGCAAGAATACATTTGTGAATCCTTGCAAAATATCTGGATTTCAACATTGATAACTCATAAAACAGTCCTGCAGGTAATTATACAGAACCACTTTGACGACAAAACAGTATTTCAGATGCTGTGCAAAGAGATCGGTCCGCTGGTAAGGCCAGCTATGCTGTCCCATCGCAAAGTAACATGTCTTTTTTTGATGCGCATCGAGGAATTTATTCAGTAAATGTGTTTCCATCGTGGTTTATGCGAATGTTTTCTTATCGGATAAAAGGCTTATCTGACTCAATTGAATGCATAATTTTTTATGCACTTTTTTATTTTTATTTTTTTTATTCATGCTCATTTTGGCATTTCCATCCAGCGTTTATTTTACATTTTTTGTGCGAAATCCCCAAATGTGCATAGAAATAGGCGGATGAAATAGTTATTGACTCCAAATATCTTTTGGAGAAGTCGTAACACAGTTTATAGATAAAGATTAGACCACATTTTATAAGCAATCAATGCAGAAATCCACTAACTGTATTTTCAAAGGCTTAACAAGCTTATCGTAGACACTGTATTTTCTTTTTATTTGCCTTTTTATTATTTTGACCTGATGTCACCCGAGTTTGATGTCATAGAGGGTTAAACAAAAGTTAATGAGTTATTCTCACTGCGATGACGGGTTATTGCATTTGGTTGTTTGCAAAAGTTATGCGAATATCTGTAGTCAACATATTAAATTTCATATACTAATGTTGTGGTGGTTGCATTCTGTGCATAATGTTAAAAAAAGGCTTGGCTCAAATTCTACCTCAACATAAAACCACACTGATGTCTGCAACAGCCAAGCAGCCTTTACATATGACTGCAAACACTGCTTTCATTGTCAAACTAATACTCTACTCTAAATGTACAGATTTTATAGGGCAGTCTCATGTTGGTTACAATCACGTCAGACATTGAAATTACAGTGAAAATATGAATACAGACTAGACAGAACATTCAAAACAACCATTCACAAGTAACAGGCATTGACACTGACATCGATTTGCAGTGACAAAGCCACCTGGAGTCATTTAGGCCTATTTAAATTCAGAGTTGCCAACAGATTACCGGCAACATGAGTGTCAGTGACCGTTTTCAATGTTCTGTTTTAAACACTGTATTTGTGAAAATTTGGCAAAAACATTCTGAGCAGAACTACTTCAGTGTAATAATATACTATTTTGGTAACACTTTACAATAACGGCCCAGTGGTTAATGTATTAATTAACAACGAGCAATACATTTTTTTTTATTTTTTTTTTACGGTATGTATGAATCTTTGTTAACATCATATAATACAAAGACAACTGTACATTGTTAGTTCATGTAAAAATATTAACAGATACAACTTTTGATTTTGTTAATTGGTAGATGTTGAAATTAACATGAACTAAGATTAAAACATGCTTAAGAAGTACTTATTTTTAGTTCATGTTAACTAGTTGAAGGGTAACCACTGATTTTCAACCCGCTTTGTATGTTACAATGTCGGTAGTATATGTAAATGAATATTGTGTACACTTTCTCCACGTTACCTCCCTGCATATTTGTTAGCTAATGTCCGCTGGATGACGTAAACCATACTTTTGAGAGCTCCAAGGCTTTAATAAAAACTACAGATCATACTTTCACATTTTGTTTCCCTGCTCATGGGTAGTCAGGTCAAGCCCAGTGCATTATGGGTGCTAAAGTTACCTACCTTTTTATCTGTTTTCTATGGAAGCTTGTTTCTGCCACATAATAATAAAAAAAAAGTAATAGCAACTTTTTATCTCACAATTCTGACTTTTTCATATATAAAGTCGCAATTGCGAGATATAAAGTCATAAATGTGTGATATAAAGTCGCAATTGCCTGTATTAAGTCAGAATTGTGAGATATAAACTCGCAAGTCTGACTTTTTTTTCTCAGAACTGCATGTTTATATCTCGCAATTCTGACATTATAACACGCAATTGGGAGTTATAAAGTCAGAATTGTGAGATATATAAAGTCGCAATTGCGAGATATATAGAGTCGCAATTGCGAGAAAAAAAGTCTTTATAACACGCAATTCTGACTTTATATCTCACAATTCTGACTTAATTAAATAAAGTCAGAATTGCGCATTGTAAACTCGCAATTGTGAGATAAAAAGTCGCAATTATCTTTTAAAATGTTTCACTCTGTGGCGGAAACAAGCTTCCATGGTTTTCTCTAGTCATGTGGCACATAAAAAAACAGTGTCTTTCTACTGCATAGACAGCCAAGTTTTACCAAATGGTCAAATGGAACCTTACTGTAAAGTGTCACCACAATTTTTATAATTCACTTTTTCAACTTTAAATGTATAATTACTGTTAAATTTACTGTCCAGCTATTATAAGCTTTGCTAAGTGTTTGAATTTCAAACATACTTTGTTGGGATCCATTCTCATTTTTTCATTGTTGGCTGACGAGGCTTTCTCTGCCGCTCTCTTCTGCCGCTGCGGTCCCCTACCGAAGAAAATGTAGTTGACCAGCGCGTACTCCAGCAGAGCCAGGAAGACGAACACGAAACAGCCCATCAGGTACATGTCAATGGCTTTGACGTACGGAATCTTTGGAAGAGTCTCCCTCAAATGTGTGTTGATGGTGGTCATGGTCAGCACGGTGGTGATGCCTAAGTTCAAAAGGGAATTATTGTTAAGGGTGCAGATGACAAAAAGTGGATTCTATTGAGGAACCGTAATTCTTGGAAACAAAGAAGACAGGGAATATCAAGGAAGGGAGGTAGAAACTAGTGGCTCGAAGTGAAAGGGTTTTAATAAGTAAAAGAGAAAAACAAAAAGCCAGGAAACAGGAAACTTAAATAAAGCAAAAACACGAAATATAAATATGACCACAAACCAGGAACTCAGAGGGGAACAGAAACACGAAACAAACCCAAAACAAGGGTTTTAACAACTAACAAAACACAAGAGAAAACATAGGTGCATTTATACTGTACACAAGGGCTAATGAGAAAACTAGAAAACACCTGGGAATGATAATGGGCTAATCAACCAGCCCAGTCTCATCCCAAGACGTCATATGACTGACGCTTTTGACCATACGTCAACATCCGACGTTTTAGGGTACCCTTTAACCTCAGTTAGATGACGCTATCTAATCCTAACCCTACCCCCGACCTAAACCTACCAGCGTCATCTAACTGACGCTAAAGGTAAAGCGTCAGACATATGACGCCCTAGGATCGTCATCTAACTGACGTTAAAGGGTACCCTAAAACGTCGGATGTTGACGTATGGTCAAAAGCGTCAGTCATATGACGTCTTGGGATGAGACTGTGTTAAATCAACAGAGTTAAGAGCCTTGCACACTGAGTCCGAAATTCTCGTCCGAAATGTTCGGACGATAAAAAATTAATACTACCTCACGTCGTGTTAATCCAACACATTTTCATCCTTTGGCGTCATATAGGTGACGCCATATGACATTTCGTCGAAATCTTACGCACATGGCATCCTTTAGCGTCAATATAACACGCACTGTTATGGGTAGGTTTAGGTCTGGGGTAGGGTACGGTTATGACGCCTTGGGATCTGCGTCTCATATTGACGCTAAAAGATGCCATGTGCGTCAGATTTAGACGAGCGTCACCTGTATGACGCCTTGGGTTCTGCGTCTCATATTCATGCTTAAGGATGCCATGTGTGTAAGATTTCGACGAAAGTTCAAAGCGTCACATGTATGACGCCTTGGGATGAGAACGGGCTGGTTAATCACGTTTACACACTGCCTCAGAAACTTTCGTCCGTCATAAAAAATATTTCTACTGCTACCGCTTGTGAACTCTGTTTTACCTGTTGTGGCGAGCAGGACTAGGCTGAGAGCCGTGAGAGAACGGCGTGAGGCCGGTGTGATGAGCGCCACCTGCACGCTCCGGTCTTATATCTCTCACGGCCCTCGGTCTTGTACTGTTCGCCACACCTCTGATCCCTGTTATCTCAGTCATGGCCAAAGCGGCCGAATCTGAACTCTCTGAGCTTCCTTTCATGGTCACGGAAACCGATTTTGAACTCTCTGAGCTCCCTGTTATGGTCATTGAGGCCTTAAATAATCTCTCTGTGCTCTGGTGATGCTGTGGTATCTAGCACCAACAGTACCGTCATGGCTCCAGGCTCCGATGTGGTCTTCAGAACCACCGTAGGGGTATTCTGCTCTGTGGTGGTGGTCTTCTGCTTCTCCATGGGGGTCTTCAGTCCCGTCTGCTTGGCCGCGATCCTCTACTCCAGCAATGGTGGTCTTCTGTTCTGCCTGCTATGCTGTAATGGTTTCCTGCTCCACCTTGGAGGTCTCCTGCTCCGCCGGCTCCAACCTGAAGGTCTCCTTCTCTTCCTGCTCCGCCAGCTCCACCTTGGAGGTCTCCTGCTCTGCCGGCTCCACCTTGAAGGTCTCCTGCTCTGCCTGCTCCACCTTGGAGGTCTCCTGGTCTGACTGCTCCACCCTGGAGGTCTCCTGCTCTGCCTGCTCCACCTTGGAGGTCTCCTGGTCTGACTGCTCCACCCTGGAGGTCTCCTGCTCTGCCTGCTCCACCTTGGAGGTCTCCTGCTCTTCCTGCTCCGCTGGCTCCACATTGGAGGTCTCCTGTTCTGCCTGCTCCACCTTGGAGGTCTCCTGGTCTGACTGCTCCACCCTGGAGGTCTCCTGGTCTGCCTGCTCCACCTTAGAGGTCTCCTGCTCTGCCTGCTCCACCCTGAAGGTCTCCTGCTCTTCCTGATCTGCCGGCTCCACCCTGGAGGTCTCCTACTCTGCCTGCTCCACCTTGGAGGTCTCCTGCTCTGCCTGCTCCACCCTGAAGGTCTCCTGCTCTTCCTGCTCCGCTGGCTCCACCTTGGAGGTCTCCTGCTCTGCCTGCTCCACCTTGGAGGTCTCCTGGTCTGACTGCTCCACCCTGGAGGTCTTCTGCTCTTCCTGCTCTGCCGGCTCCACCTTGGAGGTCTCCTGCTCTGCCTGCTCCACCTTGGAGGTCTCCTGGTCTGACTGCTCCACCCTGGAGGTCTTCTGCTCTTCCTGCTCTGCCGGCTCCACCCTGGAGGTCTCCTGCTCTGCCTGCTCCACCTTGGAGGTCTCCTGGTCTGACTGCTCCACCCTGGAGGTCTCCTGCTCTGACTGCTCCACCTTGGAGGTCTCCTGGTCTGACTGCTCCACCCTGAAGGTCTCCTGCTCTTCCTGCTCCGCTGGCTCCACCTTGGAGGTCTCCTGCTCTGCCTGCTCCACCTTGGAGGTGTCCTGGTCTGACTGCTCCACCCTGGAGGTCTCCTGCTCTTCCTGCTCTGCCGGCTCCACCCTGGAGGTCTCCTGCTCTGCCTGCTCCACCTTGGAGGTCTCCTGGTCTGACTGCTCCACCCTGGAGGTCTCCTGCTCTGCCTGCTCCACCTCGGAGGTCTCCTGCTCCGCCGGCTCCACCCTGGCTCCCTGAACTGTCAGCTCTGCCCCGGATTCCTGAACTGCCGCCTCCCCTTGGTCTCTAGCCCCACCTGGCCCTTCATCCCTCCATCTGCTCCGCATTCGCTCCACCACCCTCCTTGACTTTTTGTGTCAGTTTTAGGAGCGTCTGGAATCTGCTCCTTAAGGGGGGATCTTGTTTGTTTCCATGTCAACTGATCACCTACACCTGTCCTTCACTTCTCTTGTTACCTTTATGTATTTAAACCCTCAGTCATCGTCTGATCATTGTCTTGAGTTGAAGTTGAAGTTTCGTGCTGGTGTTTCTCTGTACCGTTCCTGGTGTTTATTAAATGTGTTTTCATTTTTCTTCTGCATCAAGCATCTTTGTGGATTATCACGTCTAGCCAGCGTGTGGAAATTGCATTCTATGAAAACCAAATGAGATCACCCTAAGTATGTCCTCATTTAGAAAGTTCGAAAAACATGTGCAATGTGTGAGGGGGCATTATCAGAATTCTTTTCTTTCAGTTGATGATTCAGAATCTTAAAATGGTGTGATTTTTCATGCTCTCAGTCGGCAGAGTGGGAGATAGGCACCTTAATTGGTGAAACACAAAGCCTCCCTGCTTCTCAACAGTGATTAAGAAATAGTTCTGTCATTTTAAGCAGTGAAATATCCATTCAGTGTCATTCTGACAATTTTCATGAAATTCACCGCTGATCCTTTGACGGGTATTACAGAGCTTATGAGGTACAAAGTTAGTTTTGTTCAAAAATCCTTGTGTTTTAGTGTTATTATTTGCCCTATAACAGATGCCAAAGTCATGTTATTGAAACCTCTTTGTCAACGAACATTTCAGCCTGCTCTGTTTCTTATCTCTTTTTGGCTGCTACGTACTGCAAGTGTAATATGCATATGGTACCAATATAGCCATGATTCAACTTGACCAATAGCACAGCAGATTAGGTACTCCTACTCCTGCCTTGTGGTATTGGCTAAATCAGATAGTTATGCACTTGATACACAGTACTGTGGTAATTGACACACACTATCTATCCATGCAGATGCACATTTGTATCCAAATATTTGATGATTCCAATCAGTATGAGCTTTAAACACTTATGTCTGCTCATCCTATACACAATCACTCAGACTTCTGTTAAATGCTACAGTTGTCATGATCCCTGTGTGTTTAATTTTCATGGACTTTTAGGTTAAGTTTACACGACAAGGATATGCTTAAAACAGAGAAGTTTTTCCTTTGAGTTTTCCGCGCACACCACAGTCAGAACGATCCACATTCGTGTTTCTTTGCCTGCTTCGTATCTGTGGACCACCTGAGTTTGTTTTATTTAATAAATACCATTTGTTTTGGACCCTTTGAATCTTGTTCATCTTCCTCAGGACCTACAGTATACATGGCAACAGTGGTTTAAACTTGAGTGGATGAACGAGGCCAAGCCAGACAGCAATCACAAAGAGTGCTCTTTTATTCACACTGAGAAGCCAGTCTCAGCCTTACATAATCAGTGATGACAGGAAAAATGTGGAGGCTTACGAGAGAGAGAGAGAGAGAGAGAGAGAGAGAGAGAGAGAGAGAGAGAGAGGGGAGAACGTGTGGTGAAAAAGAAAATCCAATGAGTAAAAATTTCTGTCACAACGCTTGATTAAAGAATTTTAAAAAGGATATTAGAGGGTACTTGGGGTGAATCATGTTCCAGTGATATTACATACACAAGGGAAGATCATTAATAGAACAGGGAACAGGGAACAGGGAACAGGGAACAGGGGAGATAGTAATCAGGAACCATAGGGGCTTTTGCACCGGAGGAACCTTTTAATAGTTCCTAGAACTATTGGCGGAAGTACCCGCTTTTTGGCATGTTCGCACCGTAGGAAATGGGAACGATGTTAGTTCTAGGAATGCCTTTTGGGGGAAACTAAATTATCTCCTACTTCAGAGCAGGATCTAAACCAGCACTATCAGGAACTACCAGTGATGTAAGTGTATGCTGACTGGCCGAACGCATGCAAAACACCAGCACTCGCCATTTAAAAAAAAGCCGTGTACACACAGATTATAGCCTATATATTTACTCTACAAACTATCTCTATAAACATGGAAAACAGTGATAGATGGATCTCTTAACATCTACGCTGAGGAGAAAATCCAACGCAACTTTGAGGGGACCAAGCAAAACATGATTATGTATTTTTGCATAGCTATCGGCATTGAGCGTCAACCACACGGCAAACGCTAACATTCTTTCATATACTGTTTATTTTCTTTGCATATCAGTTCTCTGGGAACCCCCCTGGTGGCTTGTTCCTATAACTAAGTTACTATTACTACCCAGTGTGAGAGGGGATAGATAGAATCAGAACTCAGGCAAATGGTGACAATTAAATCAAACAAAACAAGATAATAAAACTAAACTAAACAGGACAGAACAAGACATGAACATGACATTTACATCATATTATTTTCTTGATAAAACAAAATTGCAGCTGCAGTACATGTATATAGTGGGTGGCCTTTTTTTTTTTTTTTTTTGAAGAGGGCAGAGTAGAATTTAAGGAGATAACCCTGCTGCACTTTAACAGAAGAAAGGATTGTGTATAGGGATAGGTGAGTGTGTTTGTATATATGTATATATATAATGAATGTCACCATATGTGTGCGCCTACCTAAAGCAACCCTGGCAGCCGAGGCATCATAGTTGATCCAGAAGGATACCCAAGATAGGATGGTGATTAGGATTGAAGGCATGTAGGTCTGCAGAATGAAGTAGCCAATGTTTCTCTTAAGCTTGAAGCTCAGGGAGAGGCGAGGATATGAACCTGGATGAAAATAACCCAGCAACAAGATCACAATCTTTTACATTAGCTACGTTTATAAAATGCTTTTTGAACAGTTTAAGGGATTTGTATATTTTGTCATAGGACCAGAAAAAGTCCTCAAAACGTTCCCTGTTATTCTTAATTACGCATCATATTGTGTAATATATGTAATATTCACATTTGTGCATAGTGCTTTGTAAGCCCGTAGAATAAAAGTGATGCTTGAACATATATAATGAACATATGCAGGTGAATGAGATAATTTATATTCATTAAATATATTTATATATCTCTCTCTATATACACTGAACAAAATTATAAACGCAACACTTTTCGTTTTGCCCCCATTTTTCATGATCTGAACTCAAAGATCTAAGACTTTTTCTATGTACACAAAAGGCCTATTTCTCTCAAATATTGTTCACAAATCTGTCTAAATCTGTGCTAGTGAGCACTTCTCCTTTGCCGAGATAATCCATCCACCTCACAGGTGTGGCATATCAAGATGCTGATTAGACAGCATGATTATTGCACAGGTGTGCCTTAGGCTGGCCACAATAAAAGGCCACTTAAACGGAGGCAAAAAAAAAAGTGTTGCGTTTATGATTTTGTTCAGTGTATATTGTCTTTAATAAGACAGTACAGGGAGGGAGAGAAAGGAAAAGACAAGGGAGGATAGCAGGAGACGGGATCAGGAAAGGATATCACACAAAAAAATCATGCCATATGTCAGAGCAGGGCCCATATGACTGTTTCGACAGATACATCATTTGTTATAACAGCATGTTACTGCATGAGGATAAAGTACCAAAAAAAAGGAAAATAATAGAAAGTGCATTCGCTTTACACTACAAATGCAATGGAGTAGCAATTTAGACTATGCTACAGCTCAAAAGGGACCATAAAATGCACCACAAACACTGTAAAATGATCATCAAAGTAATCCATTTTATTCTTGTGCTGTAATGAAAAACTCATTAAAAATGAAAAATTCAAGAAAAGTGATTACAAAGGATTTACATCAGTAATATCAAATGGTCATGGTGCTTCATTACTGATTGTGACATACAATAGTGTATGTATTCGAATGAAATAAGTGGATCTTAATAAAGTACGTTAAGATTTTCAGTGATTAAAAAGTTAAAGTTACTCCATACTTCACCCAAAGATATTGTATACTGTGAGAGAGTAATTCAGATGCAACACATTTTTTTATATATATCTCTATATGTTTCTTACAGATAACTACATAAAAACAATTAGACCCACCTGGAATTAAATATCATGTGGGGTGTACAGATAATGGAATAAGGTGAATACGTTTAAAAAAAAACGTGGGGGGGGGGGTGAACTGTTTCTTAATTGTACATTGTCGCAAAACATCATAATGGAGGAAAGGTTTTCCATCTTAAATCAACACCTAGACTTAGGGCCCTATTTAAACGATCTGAAGCGCAAGTGTCAAAGCGCAAAGCGCAAGTAACTTTGTGGGCGGATCCCGGCGCTGTTGCTATTTTCCCGGCGGGATAAATGCCTCTTGCGCCTGGCGCAAATCTAAAAGGGGTTGGTCTGAAGTAGCTTCATTATTCATAGGTGTGGTTTGGGCGTAACGTGAAATAAACCAATCAGAGCGTCATCTCACATTCCCTTTAAGAGCAGGTGCGCATGTTGCATGGCGGATTGCTATTATAACGGCGGATTTGCCAGGCGCGCGACAGGAGCGGTTCACAGCCGAGGAGAGCAACGTTCTTGTCAGGACCGTGAAAGACAGAGAAGTGACGTTGTATGGGGATGGAGAAACCCACCCAAATCAGCGTCGGTTAAACAGGCGTGGGAGAAAACAAACAAAAATTTTTACATCTTCATGGACACCACAATGATTTCCCTCATGTGTTAATATTTTTCCTTGTTATAATGTATGATTTGCAAAAATAAAAACTGCTGCATGTGTGTTGATGAGAGAATCAAAGTGTATGCGCGTTGTGCACCTGCTACATTATGGCCAAGCATGTGCGCTTAAAATAGCATTATGAACAACGCGCCACTGACTTTAGACTAGGTTTTTTCTGGTCAGTGGCGCAATTGTTTTATAGAACAGCAAAATAGCATGAGGGAAAGTTTGCGCCGGAACACGCCTCCTCTTTGCGCTGAACCGCCCCGGGGAGCGCAAGTGTATTTCTTAGTTTACCGACGTGTGTCTGTGGAGGGAAAAGCCCGCTTTGCGCGGGTGCAAAATAGGAATGATACATGCGTCAGTGTACAAAGTCATTTGCGCCGGGTGCAAGATAGAGCCCTTAATGACATAGTCGTCTTGTTAAAAACTAGCAGGCTTGGTAGAGCTGTTGAAGTTTAACATCAGAACACAGTCTTCATCCTCTTTGACATAGTGTGCCCTATTTTAACGATCTAAAACGCAAGTGTCAAAGCACAAAGCGCAAGTAACTTTGTGGGCGGGTCTTGGGCGCTGTTGCTATTTTCCCGGCGGGATAAATGACTCTTGCGCCTGGCGCAAATCTAAAAGGGGTTGGCCTGAAGTAGCTTCATTATTCATAGGTGTGGTTTGGGCGTAACGTGAAATAAACCAATCAGAGCGTCATCTCACATTCCCTTTAAGAGCAGGCGCGCTTGTTCTAAAGCGGATTCCTATTATAACGGCGGATTTGCCAGGCGCGCGCCAGGAGCGGTTCACAGCCGAGGAGAGCAGCGTTCTCGTCAGAGAAGTGACATTGGGGATGGAGAAACCCACCCAAATTAACTTCAGTTAAACAGGCGTATGATAATTTGGGAAAATGTGTAAGCTACATGTATGCTTTTATAATAAATTGTCTATCTATCTATCTATCTATCTATCTATCTATCTATCTATCTATCTATCTATCTATCTATCTATCTATCTATCTATCTATCTATCTATCTATCGTAATAATGTATGATTTGCAAAAATGAAAACTGCTGCTTAGATGAGAGAATCAAAGTGTATGCGCGTTGTGCACACGCTACATTGATTATGGCCAAGCATGCGCCCTTAAAATAGCATAATGAACAACGCGCAACGCGCCACTGACTTTGGACTAGGTTTTTTCTGGTCAGTGGCGCAATTGTTTTATGGAACAGCAAAATAGCAAAAGGGATTGTTTGCGTTGGAACACGCCTCCTTTATTGCGCTGAACCGCGCAGGGAGCGCAAGTTAATTTCCTAGTTTAGCGACGTGCTTCTGTGGAGGGAAAATCGCGCTTTGCGCAGGTGCAAAATAGGAATGATACATGCGTCAGTGTACAAAGTCAATTGCGCTGGGTGCAAGATAGGGCCCAGTGAACCAAACATCATTTTTAAAGACTGCATCTACAGCTAACCTCCTGACTTGGATGACACATTCATGAATATGAAAATGTAGTCAATGAATAAATCAAGGGGTCACACAACGATTTGTTAAATAACTTATAAGAACACACTGTGTCTTGTTTTTAGAGTATGTGTTTTTCATTCTCAGACCAGGGTTAATTCATACAACCGCTGGGGCCTGGGACACCACTAGCCATGCCAAATTGAGAGGGTTCATAAACCCAGAAGTGTTGCTTATTTTTTTACTAGGGTTCATGAATGAGTTGCTTACTGACTGACTCTGAAACTGCCCACTAGAGCCAGCTGCATATGTGTATATGTAGTAAATGGGTTTGAACGGGAGAGGGTTTTCAACCTCAAAGTGTCCTAATATGTGATGAAGTTAAAGATGCTCTATGTAACTTTTAGCGGCCTCTAGTGGTGATGTTTCAGATTGCAACCAAATTTTACAAGAGCGCTCGTGCTCGAACTCATAGACAATACCGTCTATTACGCAAATATCTCGGCGAATACTAGACGGATTCGGCGAGCACCGAGCTCGTTGGGACCATCTAGTCGAGCTGAAAAGAACCATATAAGTTCCATAGTTTTTGGTGGTGTTTTCGCCGTGATATTAGCAGAAAACCATCGGGCGCCCCGGTGACGTCACGATCTCAGAAGAAAATCGCTCGTATCTCTGGAACGCAAAGACCCAGAGAGCTCAAATTCGGGGGAGGAGGTCCCAGGGGATCCCTTGCCCGAACGCTAGAGTGGCGGGCCTTGGGGATGCCCCCTACCGGATCGCCGTTCGCTGGGACCCCCGTTTTCGAACGGCCATAACTCGGGGAGCCGGGCGAGTTGGACCTCGGGGGTGGGCTCGTTCGAAAGGCCCCGTCCAGCACTACGAACGATTAGAGTCTTGGGAATATTGATCAAAGATTGACCGAGATATAAGCCGAAAAACGTGCCCCTTTAACCGGACGTAACTCCCTGACCGTCTACAATAGACTGTATATAAGGAGAGAGGCTCGGGAGCGCGCATGCACGTCACATCCGTTGGATTTCGCGGTAAATCCGACCCGGAGACTTCACATAGAAATAGGAATACTGGCCTTCAGAGGTAATAGCAAAACTCGACAAGTGGATCATTTTAATGTGTGATTACAACCCCTTCACACACAGGCAATAAAAAAAGGATTCATTTAAGTAGAAAAGTTACATAGAGCACCTTTAAGTAATATAGACTTTTTTTTTTTTTTTGCATTTGAGAATACCACTATAACTTTACTATTAAGTCATACAGTTATTTCAGTTCTTGGCTTTTCCTACAGTGTAGTTTGGTTTTATTACCTGTAGAAAACACCACGTTTTTCGAGATGAGTTTGTAGTCCACTATAGAGAACTGAGGAAGCTCTATCCTTTCAACCCCCGTTACTGCATGGTCGCCACCTCGCCAGTAGAACTCAATATCATCTGTGGTGTAGCCATCTGAGGGAGACAAAGGCAGATGTTAAAACATATATGGATGGTGGTCATGTGATTGATGTATCATCGGTTGTTCTAAAGTCTTGGTCATTAAAATGGCCAATAAATAGGCATATTCTGGCATCACTACAAGTGCATAAGTAATGAAAAAGAAAGAAAGAAATGATACAGCTTGCTGTCCTACCTTGTGAAAATCTTGCATAATCTTGCAAATCCATTACACAAATGAACACACACTTCCAAAGCTAACTTAAGCTGATTAGTTGGTGACCCAAAAAACAACAACAAGATGTTTATGAACATTTTCTGCAGCCGTGATGTTGTCGGGGCAGATGCCACAAAATACAATAATAAATTGTGGGAAAAAAGTAAAACAGTTGTTGAATTATAATAAATTAATTCTCTTGTTTGCTCTTAAATGGTTGGATAAATGTAACTTTGCCAGGTTATGAACAGTCATCTACAGCAAACAGAGTCTTAATTCCTTATAAACTTTGCATATACATAATTTAACATGTTAAATCATTCAAGGCATGCTAAGATGTGAAGAATTATAAATGATGAAAAATGTGATAAAGTTCAGCTGTGAACATTTACTACATCTGAAAGGAGCTCTGAAATGGACCTGTAATATGGGTCGTGATATGAGATATTCTCTTCTATCTAAATACAACAGAGGAGAGTGTCTGTGCCATATGTTGTTGCCTGAATCATTATTTGATTTTTATTTGATTTTTGTGGCTAAAATTCGGCCCTGGACAAATCCAACCCATCCGCGCGCCTGGCCCATGAGTTTGTTTTTGCTGAGGTTAGGGCCTTAAATTGGAGTATATAAATGAATAAATAAAACTATGACAGGGACAAATAATGATAGATATGATTGAATTTACTGCAAATGCAGTTAACAAACTTAATATTGCATTTTTGTCACACTGAAATGCACTTGATAGTGACACACAAAAATGAATGTTGGCAACCAAACCATTTTGGTTAGGCTATACCCTTGACTTCTATTGGACAAAAAACACTCTCAAATGATTTTCTTTTATGTTCCATAGAACGATAGACATTCAGGTTTGGATGACACTAGGGCGAGTAAATTATGGCATTTGGGGTTGAACTATCCCAGGGTTGAGTTTCCCTTTCAGACGCAAAATGTATGGGAGGAGAGAATTTAAATGAATCATGCAAGGTGATTTACTAAGGTTTGCGCTAATTTACTGGTATTAGCGCCATTATTTACCTCCCTAAAAAGGTGTGTTCATTTGTGCTGCTCTAGGTAGATTGTGTTGGTCATTATGGCAAATTATCTGGCTGCGTCTGTGTTCTTTAATTTGTGCGTCGTCAGTAGATTAACACTGAACTTTCCACTTCCATCTGTGCTTTTATGGAATTACGCTCCCAGGCTAATTTACCCAGTTTAATAAATCTGGCCCTTGTGCGCTACAAAAAACAGCGCCTAATATGGGGCTCGCTTTCACTACCAATTGGCTGCTGTCCCTACATGATGGGCCAGTCCGTGGCAATATATATACTATAATATAAACCTTGTGAAGTGCGTCGGCCCACCAGGAAAGTGCCTGGTATGGCAGATTAGCAATCTAGCCCTGGTTGAGCTGAACCTGTGTTATTAGAGAGCAGAGTATAAGCACATGCAAGCCTTGGGTCAAAATCATTGTCAAGTCAAATCATACGGCACTCCATTTCTGACCTCAGCTGCAGAAAAAAGCCATCATAAATATTCAAACAAAACACGAGATATTTTGTTTGCTTCAGTGCTCCCTGCTGAAACTGACAGAAACATGAACAGCCAGCCCATCTAGCCATAAATGATTGAGAAACATCTTATTGTATCGGAGCAAACAGCACTCTGCATCAGACCAGAAAACTTGGTCTTGCATAATCCATCCATGGATGGTCCCCTGAGCGACTGTTGACTTATCAGACTGAGGGCCAAAATGCAAAATAATGATATATCAGAGAAAAATATCCAAAGTGTCAGCAGATAAAATAAAGTGTTTCATAAAAAAATAAAAAATTCTATAATTGTTTTTACTCTCATGTCTTTTGAACCCATTAGACGTTATTTCTTCCTTGGAACACAAATTATTTAAAGCAGAATGCTGAATCTGCTCTTTTCCGTACAATGAATGTTAATGTTGACCATTAATAATGACTATAATGACATTAATAATGACTGTTCTCAAACAAAGCTATAACAATCATAGTCCATGATTTAGACTATCTTCATGGTGCTTTTTGGAACTTGACAGACCTTTGTCTTTGTTCACTTTCATTACATGGAAAAAAATCATGAACAAAACCATGACACAATGAACCAAAAGGAAGTCCTATTTATTTATAACAACTTGAAAATCAGTAAATTATGACTGTTCAAGACTAAGAGCAATTGAAAAAATCAGGGTTACTTATGTAACACTATGGGAATGCCTTCAGCGTGAGTAAGTGTATGAAGCATGTGTGAATTCACAGATGATTGCCCTCTTCAGTCATATGTGGTCAGTGGTGCTCTTGCATGACTGTAAAAGGGCACCGCATTAAACGTTATCAACTTTGAGTGGGCGCTGCTTTCTCCTGTGGCATCTTCTGTTCATCTGGGACTGAATGATTAAGTTCCACTTGGTTGGGCCGCCAACCCATGCTCAGGTTGAGCCCAGGCTCTGCCTTTAGAACAGTATACTAGGTAATCGTAAGAGGGATAGAGCTGTGAGCTCCCTAGGTGTTTAATCATTGGCACACTTCATGGTAGCTTTTTGGCCACAGCCTGACTCGCTTGGTGGAGCTTTGTAGTGGTTATATTCAGTGGGTATTAATGTTCCCATAGTGTCAACGTAATGGCGCAGCGTAGAGTTCCCTCGAAATGGAACGTCTAGGGTTATGTGAAGGGTGCGGTGCGTCTCATTGTCATACTCCAGGCATGCCTGCTGTGTCTTACTTCAGACAACCTGAAGCTGGTTGTTTGGGTGCCCTTTAAAGTACATGCCAGTGCGCCAGTGACGTCATCCTACTGCCATAGCCAATCTGAATGAATGTGTAGCACACATGCTTCAGCCTCATGATTTAGAGCTGCAAAATTGTCTGTAGGTGTGTGCATGAGTGAAAAAGTTTAGCACATTATCAAACCTACATTGGAAAAGAATTGTTGCTGTGGACACATATTTAAAAATTCTAACAAAATTAAAACATAAGGATCTTGAAAATGTTTGTTAAAGATATCCATACAATAAAGTCCCAATTGGTTTAGCTTTCATTGCATTTCTTTTTTTCTGTTAAAATGACCATTACATCACACAAACATGACTTCATATTATTTTGCAAGGAATAATGGCATTTGTGTGGTTGGTTGGGCCATTTAAAGCCACTTAACTCCATTGTTTCTATGTCATTGAGCCTGACTTTGCAAATTAGCTTTTGCCGACATTCCTGTCAGGGCTCTTACATCACTCGCTCCGGTAGCTGTGAACCCACATGCACAGGAACTCCAGGATGAGAACGAGGAAGAGGAACAGTGTTAAACTAATTCCATAGGGATCCGTTTCAAAACCTAGTTGTTGCCTTAAAAGGCTTCCTAACTGAAATGGAACCTCTTAAGTGGCGGATTGGGAAGGCTGTAACTTTGTGCATCATACAAATACTTTGCAAAGCACATACTGTACAAGAAATCACAAATTATTTCAATAAAGTTTGCTGTCAACATGTAACTAAGTCAAGTAAAGCATCTCCACAGTAATAAACAAGAAAATAACAGAATCAATGACGCAAACTTCATCAAATATGAGACCAATTCAAATTCTGCTGTAAAACAGCTCTAAAAAGATAACAGTGTTGTTATTCAGCTCGAGTCAGTTCAAGTTGTGTTCTCATTTGAAAGTGTCAGTGCAGTCAAATCAATAATATTACTAATACTAAGTTTATGCAATGATTTAATAAGAATAAAAAACACTGCACATAATGGTCACCCAAATGATGGGTAAAATAGTCATTTGTAATTAGTCTGAGCTGTTTTAAAACTCAGTATTGAGAAAAAAAGTATATTTAAAATCAACTTATGTAAGATAATACATATCTTGCTTTGTCTGCCATCTTTAATGGATTTTCCACTGTGCTTATGACAATTGATTATGGAATGTCTTCTACACATGGATGCATGTGACACTGCCTTGGAAATTACACAAATAAAGGAATTTTCGACCGGTTTTTCAGCCTTTGTGTCAAGTGGGCCTACAGTATAATACCTAAAAATGCTTCCTTCTTAGGCAGCCCACAAAGTTTTATAAAGGTTTCTAAGATCTGAGAACAGTCCCGCTTTAAAATTTGCTTAAATTTCTCATGTTTGCATAAAAATTGCCCTCCATTAAAGCATTATGGATATTAATAAGGATTAAACATAAATAACCTGAAGTTAGGATGCACTTTAATGTGTCTGAACTACATGACAATTCTTAATATGCCAGTCCTTCCTAAAAAAAAAGAAAAAGGGATAAAACCCTCACCCCTAAGTGGCAGGGTGAGACTGAAGGAGCAAAAGGCCCTCTAGTAATACTTTCCAATTCTTATTTATATGCATGTTGTAGAATCGTCTACTAGCGCATTTAACAAAAAAGAAAACAGATATCTAGAGTGGGAATGTCTCCAGTAATCCACGTGTGCCTCTGCAGAAAGTTTGACCCAGATGGTTCAAAGCTACTTTAATCCTTTTTCTAATGTGCAATTAAAAGTGTCCCTAAATTCACACATGGTCTACATCATCTCCTTATCTTTGCACAAACACAGCGCAGGATAGGTCAAAACAAGACATCTATATAGGAAAACCTCTTTATACACCAGAGGAGATATGCAGTTCAAGAATTGGTTCTGACGGCTACCTGGCTCTATATGCTGTGCTTCAGCAGTGCAGAAAATTTGAGTAATATGTAGAGGCCTGGTAAAATGAGATTAGACCATCAAAAGTCAACATAAAAGTCAAACACTATGTTAAGTCA